TTAGTCTAAACCTTATACCCTAAATCTTACCTTAGGTCATAAGTCTTAACTCTGAACCAAGAAATTCTGAACCTTACTCACTAATTCCTAACTCTAAACCTCAAATCTTATAGCCTAAAATATAAAGTTTGAGATTTAAGGTTTAGAGTTTAAAAATTAATCGCTTGATAACTTTGTTCGGGGTTGAAAGCCCGTAGCTCTAGTTTGGGAACCAGAACCTTGAAAAAGCCAGCCTTGGGTTAGAACAAAAAACCATGGATCCTACCCAGTGAACTTTAATTCTAAATCTTAAAACTTTAAATCCTAAACTTTAAAGCCAGTCCGCGGTTCTTGTTCTATCGGTTTTGTTGTATTCCAGGGTTATTGGTTCATGAACATGGGATTTATACTATGGAGTCCTCAGTTTGTTCCTTGAGGATGCATAATGCAGTCCGCCGAAAGCGGCGGTGACAACGTGTGTTTCTCAAATGAAGCAGATATAAGGGCCAGAGCATTGAGTAACTTGCAATCCAGTTGGATACTCTCTTGAGTCTGGAATTATGATATTCACAGGATTCATCTGCCTAAAATTTGCTGGAAAACCACCCTGAGGCCACAATCTACCGAATGCGAGCAACTTCAAATAAGAGGGAGCGATGTTCCTATAACAATGGATAGCTTGAAGCAAGCTGATCCCTAAGAATTAACTTTGATAAACATGTAAGTATAACATGGACAACAATGGCTGATATTGAACTTAAACACTCATGGATAAGTATATAATGTTGTAGACGTATTATAAATAAGTCATATTAGACATCAGTTAAACAAGACATATAAAACATTACATTTCTATATATAAGCCATAGACACATGTTGCTAACTTGCTGTGCTTAGACAAAACAGATAGTTGCAATTAGAAATGACAAGGAACTAAAGAAATTTGTCTATTAATATATTTTATTCGATATAAGCTTCAAACAGCAACCCAAAGTGCTAATTCAGTTGGAATCGAAAAACAATTACGTTTTCACATAGCAATCAAAGTACAAATTCGGTAGAGACATTGATGAAGCAAATCTTGAATTTCTCACTCATGACTCGGCTTCTTCCAAAGACGCTTCGATTCGAAGGAGAACGAATCCCACGGCAACTCCGACAAGAACAAGTCCATTCATGATCGCTGCAATCCTGAATATCTCACCAACTGCATTGCAAGTTGAAGAGAGTGCACCACCACCACCTCTACCTTTACCACTTGATGGAGCTTTGAGTGAGCTGACAAAGTTTGCAAAAGATTGCTGAATGCACACTGGTTGGCCAAGTGAGACTACTCTGTTATGAGCTTTCAATCCACAGAAAGAGTTCGACCCGGTTATGTAATTCACATGAACACTACCAGACTTTCTCCTGGGGTGGCCAATGGTGGTGGCAGCAGCCAACATGGGTGGAGAGTATGTAGCTGAGGCTGTTGCCATTGCTAGACAGTAAAATGAAAGTTGAAAGACAACAGAAATTGGGTTTGGTTATTGTATGGAGAAGAGATGATGGAAAAGGTGAAGTATTTGGATGAATGGCTGGGAAGAAGATTAGATTAGGGGAAGATTTTGCAGCTTCGAATGCTGGCCACAAGATATTTGAGGCCAATTTCTGGTTATATTAGCCCATTTGATAATATATCCTTTTAAATGAACATTTCCTGCTATTGAGCCTTTCAACATGTAACAGCCCAAACTAGAAAAAGCCCTCAAACAATCTCTCCATGGCCCTACTTTCTCTTTTTCTATAGGTAAATATACATTTTTGTTATCTAATTTAACTTCTAAATTTAATTTGATATTTCAATTCATTAAATTAAACATATTAACTTAATTTTAAGATTCAATTAGGAATATATTTTTTATTTAATTAAGTATTTGAAGTTAGTTTTTTATTCAAATTGGCAGGGACAAAATCTAGTCACTGTGGATGTGAATGAAAAAATAGAGATATAATTAGAAATGTTGTCAAGTTGGAGGAGTAAAAATTGCATTATACCTTTAAAAAATTAACAAAAGTCCAAACAATGTTTCGAAGGCCGAGGGGAGTATTGGACGCTAAGCAACATCGGAACCGACTCGCAAGCTGCTCGCGCTTTATTACAATATGGTACTATATATTTAAGGTGCTTTATTACAATATTTTAGGACTCAAGTAAATTTGAGTTTTTTTATCAAGTAAACGATGAATTTAGCAAGATTGTCGCAAGCGTCAATATGATACTATATGTCGCAAGCTGCTCGCGCTTTATTACAATATGATACTACAGTATGTTACGGCGCGAGACGGACAAACGTCAACCTAACACCATTTGTCGCAAGCAGAAGACGACACGAGATATTTCCCCTCGTGCCGCCATTTTTGCTGACCCTCGTAGTCAAATTCATTAAAAGTGTTTTCTTTAATATCTTCTTCAATTCAACAAAAAAGTATGCCGATCGAACACAAAAACGGTTTTTTACGTTATTTTTTATTATCTTATCCACAACACTGACTGAGATATCGGGCAATTCAGATATATAGATTTCCAAACAAAATAATGTCGCGCGCCTGTTTATGTTTTACGAGGTAGCGATAACAGCAGAGCAATAGCATGAAACCTTGCGAACTAAACCGATCGATCTTGTTTTTCATACAACCAGGATTCGCACTATAAAAAGAACAATGCTCCTGGTTGTTTCTTCATCTTCATCATTCAATACCCAGGCCAAAACAAGAAATCTTCAACTTCTCTACGTCAAATGGCGCTTTTGTGGAAGGTGGTCGACGAAAATGATTCACGACAACTCACGGTTACGGGAAAATTCAGTTCCGAACCATTCCCCAATGCGGAGGCTAGCGGTGTGGCCGTGGTAGATGAATGTAACTCTCCATGGACGTTCAAATACAGGGTTAAGGGAAACAAACGGATCCTGTCGGGTCCCCATTGGGTGCAATTCTTCGGATGCAATAACGTCCAAGTTGGTGACCAGGTCGTCATTTACCACAACGACGGGTGGGGGCCTCAAGCAGACTACAAGATCCAAGTCATCAGACGGCCATCTTATTAAACAAATTATGGATCAATTGCATCTGTTATTTCATGTTTGTGCATCGTCTCTGTTACTTCGTGTTCTACTTTCATATTTGAAATATATACTCTTCAGTATGTTGTTATTTGTGTCTTGTAATTAGTCATGAATTATTTATTATCGTTCTTGTTATTTTAAGATGAATACAGCATGTTTTCCCCCCTTAAATAGTACTGTATTTGATCTAGTTTTTTATACATGTAAATAAGATACATATATAATATACGATTATGATTATAACGTAATGTAATGCTTGTATCATAATATATATATATGCATGAAGAGTACGTCAAAAACATTCGATTTTGAAGATAGTGGCCTCTGCTCGGATTTAATATTATTGTTTCCTTGTTTGATGGAGCAACAAAATCAGGTTATTCACCCTTAGAAATCACATTTCGCTTATTGCAATCAAAATATAATTGGATCGCAGAAAAGGAAGAGAGAATCAAAATCCTTCTTGCAAGCGCAACAACGACTGAATCAAGGTTGAGGTTTCATTATAATGTGAAACCGTTAAAAATACTATTTAATAAATATGTGATCCATGACTTTTGATCATCCTTTTTTTTATCCACTTGGACTTTTTAGGGAAACAAAGTAAAAAATTAAAAATAAATCCCTTTTGTAAAACTTAAAATCAAATATAGAGAAAATTTTGAAATTTGGAACGTTTTTGAGAAATCAAATACTGAATATATCTATTTTTCTAATAAATATAACAATTTTTTCAACAAACAACCTAAAAATCATTACGAAATGAAACGTTAGTCACAAAAAGCAAAGGTTTAAACCTTTGAAAAATATATAATTTAGATATTTATTTTCTATTAAAATTTATACCATAAATGTTATTTAATGATATAAACAAAAGTTAGTTTTACGAGTCATATAACACTAAACACTTTTTTTATTCATGAAAAATATATAGTTATTGTATTTTTTAAGCTAAGGTGATTCTAAAAAATATTTATTCTAGATACTCTTAACCATTTGACAATAAACACTCGATCATTCCTACTGTAATTATTAGTGCTCAAATTCAAAACTTCCAAAACTAACAATCATTCTTTTAATTACTAAGATAATTTGATTCAAACTATAATTGTTGCATTTGTGAATTCTTTCATTATAAACACGTGTACTATTGACTCTATAAAATTGAGCGGTATTTATTTATTTTTTACTCCTAAAAGATTTTAATTTTTATTTAAGATTTATTATTAAAAAATTAAGAAAATATATTTTAATAACATTCAATTAATTAATTTTTAAATATATTTTACAAGTGCTAACTTTGACGTGGTTGGAGAGGTAGTATGGCAAACATTGGAAATCAACGTGTAGTAGCAAACAAGAATGATCACGTGGTACACAGCAGATTTCATGGCTGCAATTTTACTAAATACAACACCTAGAATATACACATCCACTGCATCAATGGGACACAGACTAGGCTATGTCGTTTCCGCTTAGTGCTCCTGTAATAACTCTATACCAGAACCTTACTGTAAATTTGGTAGAGCCCTTAAACACTCCTGAATAAATGTATGTGTTATAGATGTATTATAAATACGATATCCCTCACAGTAGCCACATAAAACACCAGTTACATAACATATAAAGCATGACATTTCCATTGTAGAAGCCATAGAAAAACATGTGGCTAATTTGCTGTATTTAGACAAAGCAATTAGTTGCAGTTAGAAATGACAAGGAATTAAAGAAATTTGTCAAAAAACCATGATGGTGTTAGGTGCTTTTACACTGGAACCACTATCTCAATGTCATCACTCTCAACAAAACCAAACCATTCTTAAGTAGGCATTTTACAACTAAAGCTAAATGCTATGTCCCATAAAGGCTAAAAAGTATACAAAAAGAAAGAAAAACCCCAAAAGGATCCAAGCATCACTTTCTTTGCAAGTTTCTCCATTTATCTTTGAGATCAACCTGATATATAACAAAAAACATATATCATAAATTATCCATCAAAATGAAAAAGTTCACACATCATATAAAGCAGGTGATATACTTACAGCAGTTCTCTCTCTAGATATTTCTTGATAGGTTTCCAATATGCGTGTCCACTGGTATCCATACCTGCATTATGAAAATAATCTTAGTGGGAAAGCAATGGTTATAAACTACCAGAACTATCTCTTCTCATATTGGTTAAACAAGTAGTAACAACTACTAAAGCAAAAACCTAGAGCAAATTTAATATGCTAACATGATTATACACCGAAAATTAAATGCAGAACCTCAGTTATATGTTAACCACTTACTTTCGTACACCCTCTGCCAAAGCATTTTCTTCCTCGTTGGTCCATTTATTTATTTTTCTCCGTCTCATCCACCTTTTAGGTTCGTCTATGTTTAGGAGAGAGACGTGCTCTGTTCTGGGGCTTGGTAAAGTGCATCTATTTGTCCCTTGGGAAGAGTCATCAACTGAATTCTCCAACTACAACAACAATCAAAACATAAGACAGATGAAAAAATAAAACATTATATGAATAAATGAACAAATAGGGATTTAACTTAAAGAATGCAAGACAAAATATCAAATGACCATAAAAGTTCTTCCCAAGTTTTCACAAAACAATGCCAACCAAGACAGGGCATAAATAGAAATAACAGTTAAGGATATATATATATATATATATACAGAAAAAGAAAACAGCAGGAGATTACGATTATGATTTAAAGCATGCAATGAAATGAAAAGCAATAGTTATAACAATGAGACATGCAATGTAATGCCAGTAATGATAATAATACAAATATGTGCACACACACCTCGGTGCGAGCAGTGTCATTCCTGTCCTTTAATTCAGTCCTTGGCACATTCTTGAGCCTACTAAAATCTTCATTCCCCTCCTTAGTTTGAGAGGGTACTTCGGTATGATTAGCAAATGGAATAATAACATTTCCATCTATCCTGTCATGGTCTTTTTTGTTGGGCCTACTAAAATCTTCATTCCCCTCCTTAGTTTGTGAGGGTTCTCCGGTATGATTAGCAAATGGAATAAGAACATTTCCATCTATACTGTCATGGTCTTTTTTGATGGCCTCATTAAGTGCCCCCTGTTCGTTATTACCATGGCCTTCAAAATGCAATCTTTTAGCTTCTGCCACATATGATGCAACATCTTAGAACAACATATTTTACTGCAAATTAAACATATAAATGACATAACATAATAAAAAATATTAAGACTTTGGAATAAAATCAAAAGAAGAAAGGGAAGAGGAACCTACCGTTCCCTTCGGTAGGAGCAGAAGTAGGAGCATAGGCAACATCATCAGCAGTGGTATCCCCTGGCAATCGACTGAAGGCCTCCTCTAAATAAACTCTAACTAGACGCCGCGCTTCATCAACAGTTTCAATGCGTAACAGCCTCTTAGCAGTGTCTCGATCTCACAGTGCCGCTTCGATATCCTTCCTCCATCTAGCTAAATCAGCCGAAAGAAGGCCGGAGGAACCAGACAGTTCCAAATCCCCAATTTCCTTTACCCAAATCCTCTGTACAGCGTCAAAATAGTAGCCCCACGAGATGTACAACCACCGCAGCGTATGATGTACAGCAAGGGCGCAAAAAACTTCTCGCATAGCGTCAGAGGCGTGAACACCCCGTTCGCGGTCGAGTTTCTCAATGAGTATCAAAGAGCGAATAACTCCATGCTCAAAATAGAAATACTTCGTTCTGTTTTGAATTGATCGGAGTGTCGAGGCTTTGACATGGAGACAAAAAGTATCATAGTTGCCGTTTGTCTGAGTAGAATATTGCTGAAGAATGCGTAGCGCAGGAGGCGAAATATCCTCCATTTTTCAACTTTTCCCTCTACTAGAATTTGAAATTGAAACCCTAAATATTTGTGTTTCTTTCGTTGATTGAAGCAGGAAAGGAAGAGATCTTAGTCGAAACCCTTCTTGCAAGCAACAATGAGTGAATAAAGGTTGAGGTTAAATGTTTTAAAATTGACAATATATATTTTTTTTTGTATCAAGTTTCAATAATCCGGCTTAATTAATTTAGATTGACATATGTTGTAATTTTGGTAGTTAAGTCTTTCGGTAGAAATTTTCTGTATATATAAAAGCTAGAACTTAAAAATTTACTTAAGTGATATTAAATTGTTTACCACTTGAATCAACTTAGTTCTATTTTCTTAACAAAATATATCAATTTTATCAACAAACAACCTAAACATTATTACAAAATGAAACATTAGTCATAAGAAAAAATTAAACTTTTACAAATATTTAATTTAAACACTTATTTTCTATTAAAATTTATACCATTTAACAATCTAAACAAAAACTAGTTTTATGAGGTATATAACACTAAACTCCTTTTTTTACAAAAATAATATAGTTATTATATTTTTTATTAAATTAAAATGATTATAAAATAATATTTGTTCTAAACATTCTTAATTATTTAATAATAAAAACTCAATTACTCTTATTATAATAATTAATACTCCAATCTGAAATCTTTAAAAATAATTATACTCTTTTTAATCATTTATATAATTTGATTCGTGCTATAATTATTGCATTTCTAAATTCTTTCATTAAATATTTGCACTGTTGACCGTGTAATTGTGAGCGGTGGATGTGATGAGTTTGTAAATAGGGAGATAATATATAGGTAAACTACATGGATAACTATTCAATTATGATAAAAAATTATTTTGATCATTGATATTTTAATTTGATCAAACATATCATCTAAATATTTAAATGGTTCAATCAAATTATTGACCGTTAATTTTTAACGGTAGAGGTGATGTAGCAGTTAAAATTTAATTGAAGAAATGACTCTCAGTTAACATTTTGATATAATTATATATTTAATCATTGAAATGATCATCCAACTCAGTTGATAGAGCATAAGGTTCTTAATTTTGAGGTCGTGGGATCGAGTTCCATGGAGGGCGTTTCATATTTTGGAGGTCTCCTACGGAAGCTGCTCTCAACCTAGTGTGGGGGCAGCCTACTATCTTACCTCCCCTTATCCCATTATGAGAACAAGGGACATCTATTTTTTTTATATTCAATAAATTTAATCGTTTATTTTTGTTTTAACGTATTAAATATATTTTATATAAAATATTTAATAATATGGAACATTGGGTATGTAAATGCTTCCACCTCATCAGAAATATGGAACACATTGATGAATCATTGAAACTCATCTTATTATTTCAATCTTTCTTTCCTTTTTATCCTGTTTAAACATTGGGTTTCTTCTTCGATATTTTTTTTGTTTGGTTTCCGATAAAACCGTAGGAAATGAAGGGGAAAAAGGGAATTTTGCAAAGACACAATTTTATTATTTAAGATATATAAAATATTATTAAATATCAATTTTCTGATTCTTTATCCTTGTGAATCACCATAACCCCTATGGCTTGCATGATCTGTCGCACCAACGTCATCTCGTCGACCTCCGAGTACCTCATTTCTGCGACGACTCGATCAAACAACTCACCGTCGGAGCAAAGCTCCAATTCTAAGTGAAAGTCAATTTAATATTCGTAAACGTCGTGGAGGTCGATCACATTCGGATACGACGAAACTTTCTCGATGATATTTCACATCGCGAGGATTTTGTTGGTCAACAACGCGTCAGAGATGGAAACATGGTATTATGTCATCAATAACGTCGCTATTAAAGAAGCTCTATTTTTCTCGGCTCGAGACAATGTCATTGTCGTGGTTGTGAATCTTTTTAGAGTTTTAATGGTAAATTCTCTGTATTTTAACAATCTTCATTACTTCTTTTTATACCTTTTCTTACAATTGAGAACCCATTTAATTTGACTTCAAATAATTACTACTAATAATTAGAAACAAGAAGGCTATTGCAATGGAACATAGATGTATTAAGAAGAAGCAAAGAGAAGATGAGTAATATTGGGGTTTATAGAAAAAAAATATTTAAAACATGGGTAAATTGAAACGTTGTCCCTAAACTAATTTGAATTTACGAAAACACCTATAATAAGTATTTTGTCTAGAGTTTGGGAGTTAAAATAAAAATTAAATTATTTTACTAACGGTTCACGTCATCAAACTAACGGCTTTCAACGTTTACGTGATCAAAACTTAATAAACAGTAACGTAAGTGAACAAAACTTATGTTTTTAAAATTTTGTGAGTAAAAGTGTACAAATATAAAAGAAAGTTATTAAAACTTTCAAATATTACATCTTAATTAAAATAAAACGAAAATAATTAAATACTATGTATTTTAAATTTGATGAGAAAAAGTTTATAAAACTCTGAAAAATTATGTAGATAATCCTTTTGTTTAATAAGTTAAGAAATGGTGGGTCGGCGGTCGCCGAAACTTCTTTTGGTTTTACTTTGTTGAATATATATTATACTAATAATAACAGTTCTACTTTCTTTTGGTTGACTTTTTTTTAAAGATGAATGTATCAATGTATTTCCATAAGCAGGTAATAGCCGCAAACTACATCATTTCTTTTGGTTAACTTTGTTTAATATATATTATAATAATTTTCTAATCTAACAAGGTTGTTATTTATTAATTTTTTATGACAAAAAGATTTTAATTTTTATTATTAAAAAATATATTTTAAAAACGTTTAATTGATTAATTTTTAAATAAATTTCATACAAAATAATTATTTAAATATTTAATTTAGTTCTGATTAAAGTTTAGAAAATTATATCATAAAATAATTTTATTGGAACAAAGGAAATATAATATAATAGTCTTACTACTTTAAGTAAGTACTAAGTTTGACCTGGTTGGCACATGATGATCAACGTGTAGCAAATAAGAAGGATCACGTGCTACTTGACTATACACATCCACTGCATCAATGGGACAGAGAGTAGGCTATGCTTTTCCTCTAATAACTCTATACTCAAACTAATGATTAATTTTTAAATCGATTCATATAATTTTTTTATTTAAGTAAAAATGTATTTGCATACATATTATCTTTTAAATAAAAATTTTAAATAACTTAGACATTATATTTGTATAATAAAAAAATAATTTGTTCAATTTACCTACAACGATTTGTTTAAGTGATAATTACTTTTTATAGACACTAAAATAATACAAAACACAAAAATATAAATAAGTTTTGCTCTCTAGAGTAAATTTTTAATAGAAAGTGATGAAGACTCAAGAATCAACGGAGGAACATTACAATAACTCAAACTGATAACACCTAACCATGAAAAAGGAACATTAAAATATATCAATCGTATACATAACTGTTTTTTAAATATAATTAACTACGTTAATAATATGTTAAATGTAAAATATAAATAGAGTACATTTGAAAAGGGTTGGTGAACTTTTATTTTGATATCTTTCAATTCCGTAATGAATGATAATTTAGTAAAATTTATTGTTAAGTAATTTTATATTTCACTGATTATATTATAATGAAATAAATCAAACAAGATATAACATTGCAATTTACAAAGAACGTATCAAAATAATCTTATTCTTAAAAATAACTTTAACCAAACACTCCTTAAATAAAAACACAACAAAAAAATAATTTCACAGGAACCTATGTTTCTTCGGTCTATATAAACCATGCATGGAAGGGCCACCATCATGAACAATGAGCTTCGTAACTTAACAGCAATCAAATTACAAATATCTTTGTAAGGGCTACTAACATGGTAGAAATATTCACAATCACTCTTAGAAGTGACCATGAATCAAGGCTGATGTTTAACTACCACGACGGCAAACTCCCTGGTGTTCTAATCGACATGGTGGATCAATTGTCGAAGTGAAGATGGCGGTCGGTTCATTATTGACGGCTCTGGATGGAATAGTTTCTTTAATTCATACAATATCAATGATATTGTCACTCTTTATGTTTATGTCGGTGACGACTTCTACACCATTAGTGTTCACTAATGCCAATTAGCTGCAAAAATATAATCTCTAGGTAATTGTTTGGTTATGGTGTGCCAGTGCTACTATACTAGGAATGTTAAGAATCTATATCACATTTTCTTCGAGCAAATATTTATTTTTTAACTTCTTGTACTTTTGGAACCCTACTACGTTTTATTAGAGTTTTTTAATATTTTAAAATTATATATATCACCTCTTTTTTTGTAAAGTTTTTTGTATAAATATTTTAATACTTTAAATGGTAGAATTTTGAATTTCAATGACACAATAAAAAATCTAATATATTATCAACGGATCCTATAAAATTGTTTTGTTTAAAATCTCATATATTCAAAAGTCCATATCTATTTTCCTCGTTCTTAATATTCGACGGGATAAAAAATTCTACAAGCACTCTACCAAAATTTGTATATTAAAAAATCTGAATTTCCTACTTTCGAAATTTGATTATAAGTGTCGATAACATTGAATTAATCGATTATCGAAGATTCCTTTCTTATTAGTAGTATACATATTACATTTTTTTAATATAAAAACACGTAGTTCAAACTTCAAAAATAAAATAGTCAACCATCAACACATTATTGTCTAAGTGGGATTTTTTTTCCTTTCTTGATCGTCTTAATAGATGTTCTTTTATTTGGTTAAATAATAAAATAATAATAATGAAAACAAAAAACAATTTAGTATAGTTTTAAAGAAAATAAGTATAGTTAATATCAATCAATTATTAAAAATACCTAATTAAGTTTTTTTTATAGAAAGCCACTAATTTTATTAAAAATAAAAATATACAGAATTACAATGAAGATTTACAAGCATAACTGTAAATGTAAACTAAATTATAATTAGGACACTTTCCTATAACCATTAACACAAAAACTAGCCACCTAGATCA